TCACTCCTGCCATCATTATAAAATGCTAACTAGTTAAGCAGCATTTGGTTTTCTTTGATTTCCCTTTTTTTTTTTTTAGGCCCTAATCCAAAGAGCCAGACTTCTTTAGGACTGCTGAAATTCTGGATACTGTCTTTTTGTTCTTGATATATTTATTAGAAGACTTTTAGGGATCCAAGTTTGGGTTTTGGCAGGACATGCACAGTAGCAAAAAGAAAAGAAAAGGGAACGCTTTCCTCTAGATTAGTTGAGTTTATGTATCCTAATGCTTTCATATATACATATATATGTATATATGTGTATATGTATAGGTGTATATGTATATATATGTGTGTATAATATGTACATATATATGTATATACATATGATCTTTTAAGAAGTCCCTCCTTTCATCTCTTCTCCCTCCCAAAAAATACCAGAACTAGTAATTTAATTGAATCTAGTTCTGGTAGTTTGGTATAGTCAACTGAACCATATTATCTTTTCTGGGCCTGATGAAGGATGTTTAAAAAAAAAAGTACCAGTTCCAAAATCCAGAAAAATTCCTCCCACCAATTCCACTCTCTCCCTCTTACATACACTCTCACACAGACTCCTGAGTATTGGGATTATAGTGATGTTGTTTGGATCACTCCCAAGAGAGAAGTTTCCCAGGTCCCAAGATCTTCATTAGTCTGCACAAAGGCCAATATAGCACATCTATTTGGTGGAATTCACCAAAAAGATACAGTCACTAGCTGAAGGAATATTTGTGTAATAATTTGGGGAAAATTTACTCTTTTAGGTTGTGTTTTTTAACCTGTAGGAAGTCCTGACTTCCATTTTGCCTTTTATGAAGGATTTACATTTTTGGTCACTTAGATTCACCTCTCAATTTGTTGTATGTGCCCAGGGGCTTAAGGATAATGGGAATAGCTTAATAAGCCAGATAAATAAGAATAAGTAATAATAAAGATTATTCTGTAACTCTTCCTATTAACTTTTTTATATTTGATCTATAAAACTATTCAGTTAGACCTGTTCCATGGTATAGTAGTAAAAATGTATTCTATAACTGTGATCTTAGTTTCTTCAAAATTCCTCCACTTTCTCCAATAGATGATGTATATTCATACTTCAATGGATGAACATGTATTCATAGAATTAAAATGTTAATAGTAATTTATATGTCACATTGTAGTCTCAATCTGAAAATATTTGTCATTCTGGAAGAAATGTTTTTAAACATCCGTATCTAAATTGCTGGAGGCTCAAGTACACTCATATATTAAAATGAGAGACTATTTAAATTAAAATACATATCTACTTATTAGTCCATATTCTAATTTCAGAGAACTGATTCCAGAATATACTGTAATACCCATAAGCTGCTGAGACATCCCTTATAAAAAAAAAGGGGGGAGGGGTTTTTGGTTCATTTTTTTCCTCTGGGACCACTTATTTACTCTTCAGCCTGCATTAGAGGAGCAGATACCTATCTCCAGCATCAAGACATAGTATCAGAACTTGCAATAAACATGGTTCTGTTTGTTCTCATGCAGTCCTTTGTATAAACATATTTGGTGAGAAAGGAAAGGAATGTCAGATTTGTAAATGGGTTGAGACATTACTTACATTTGAGGCTTCCCAAATAGTCCTGATGGCTGTGCATTGGACAGTTTTAAAGTACTGAGAATATTCCCCCCGCCCTTTTTTAAGGCAGCAGAATTTAAGAGTTCTTTCATAGTTCTCTCTCTCTCTCTCTCTCTCTCTCTCTCTCTCTCTCTCTCTCTCTCTCTCTCTCTCTCTCTCTCTCTCTCTCCCCCCCCCTTTCCTGTCTTTCTCCTTTGTTCTCTGAGAGTACTGACTTGATGTCTCATGCATCTCACTTTTGCCTGTGTAAACATTTCAAAGGTTTATGCTAAAGAGATATTATGAAGACAGATTTATCTAAATGTATTATAGAGTAGACTGTGGTTTGGGACTGCTGCTTCTCACACCTGTATTTTCTCCTATATTAACATTCTCTGTTCTTTTTTAGCCTTGTTATTCTTTCAAACTAAGGGTGGAGATTTTAAAAGGTGTCTAGATTTTTAAGTTTTATAGTAACAGTTGAGCTTTCCTAAACATACTTTTTCCATATTTTGTAAATCTTACTTGTCTGAGGTTCAGTTAGTCCTCTCTCAACAGATTCCATCTTAATTTATCTTTTTTTCCCCCTTTGACTCATAGGAAGGTAGTTTGGTCTAGAGACCCAAGTTTTAGTCCAGCCTGTAACACTAACTAGTTCTATGATTTTTGTCTCATATTTCTCATCTGTAAAATGAGGGAGTTAAACTAGAAGATCCTTTCAGGTCTAAATCCTATATCTATCAGTTCTGGGAAAGAAATAATCACTTCAAAATTAAATGTGTGTGTATGTGGGGGAGGGAATGATAAAAAAAAAAAGATGAGAATCAACGTCTTTATAGAACTGTAATAATTGAGTCACTTTCTAAGCCAACCAAATCCAACCAAACTGGAAAAGATTTGTGTTATCAGGTAATGTCAAATAACATTCAGCATTTTATTGATCTTTTCATCTTCCAAATCTGTTATAGACATTAGCTCATTAATCTTTAAACCACCTTTCCTGAGGCTAGTGAGGTGTTAAGGATTACTTCCCAAGCTTGACCAATGGGAGGGACTATGGCAGAGAGGGATTATATAATTTTCATAAGGGTCTCCAGTTTATAAGGGTCCCATTTATTCTTGTTCAAGATAGAACAAGAGTACTCTATACCATTTAGGACATTTAGGAAAGGAGTTTTTGGAGTTTGATTGGTCAGGAAGATAAGACCTTCATTTGATGTCCACTCTTGATACTCATTTTAGATATCTGTTGTACCCACCACCCATATTAGGCAGTGTGGTACATTGATAAGAGCCTAGAACTTAAGTCACAGAACCTCATATGTGTGTCCGATACGTGTGACTCTACGGACCTCTGTTTCCTTATCTGTAAAATACAAGGATGTATAGATGTACTATCAGGTCCCTTTCAGCTCCAAATCTATGATTCTGTGACCCTCTCCTGTAAGGTATACGCATGGACCATCTGCAACCAAGAAGTGAACAGAGAACTCAGAAACAATCTTAATTTCTATATTCTACAGGAAAAGGTATTGTAACTGTGCCCTAGAAATGCATTCCTTAATATATTTCTGACTAAACAAACTCAAGGGGGTAAATGCCCTTTAATTTAGGCATGTAATAATGATCTGTCATTAAACTACTACTCCTTTCTATACTTGGCCACGTCATAGAAATGATTCTTGGTCCTCCAAAGCTATTCCAATAGAACAAAAGCTGTAGTAAGTACAACTAAGCTGGAAAGGTGTTGGCCTGCTGTGCCTTATTAGAGTACTTAGAGCCCAGACAAGTTTGGAGAGGTTTATCAAAAGAAGGTTGGCTACCAAGTGGTGGATAGTTTTGTTGTTTTTATTTATTTTTTATTTATTTATTTTTGTTTCTTTGCTTGCTATTGCAAATCATGAAGGTACAGGAGAAAGGAGGAGAGGGAAGATGGTTTCTAGGATCTTCCCAAAGAAGTTTATCTGCAACAATGAATCCATAAATCTATTGAAGTGCTAAAGAAGAATTATATTAATAGCAAACATGACTTTTAAACAAAAAGGCTGTCCTTTCATTCTTGCAAGAAACTGAATTTCTTATCATTAAACTTAATTATAATAATGTACTATTTCTTAAAGGAGTGTCGAATAAATCAGATAGAAATTAGGTGGTGCGAGCTTTACATCTGAAGGCAGATTTTTTTTTTTTTTTAGTTCTAACGAAAAAGGAAGAAAAAAAGACCTGGGAAAGGATGGTTCAAAGTATTGTACAATTCAGATGCCAGGCCTTCTACTAAAAAATAAATCACAGCTTTTGATCAAGTCCCCTTGGAAGTGATTTCCTTCCTCTCCTCATTTATTCACTTAACTTTATTAACTTGAGAAATTTTAAATGAGCTGTTTACATCGCTGCTGGAAAGCTTCACAAGTTAACCCTGATCTTTCCTTCAGGGTCAAGGGAATTTCCCCATCACTTCCTCCAGGTATGCAGAAGCGGTCAACCCTGCCTAAAAGGGGCTTCTCCCGAGGGTCAGATGAATTCTAAGAAAGGAAAAAAAGTGAGTAAAGACCAAGTCCGAGCTGGGAAAGGATGGGGGTGGGGATGGGCGGAAGAGGAAGAAATGGTGATGGAAGAGACTGGTTGGAAGGCATTCAAGGGCCCCCAGGAGTCCTTCGATGCCCTTTTTATTTTTCGCCCACTCACAAAAACACTCTGGCTACTCAATGGCAGAGAAAGAGTCAAGTGCAAAGAAAAATACAAGAAAGACGCCACAAATATGAAGTGTGGCCTGCTAGTACAGCCAGATACCTAAGAGCCTGACGGCGAGGGGGGGGGGGGGGAGGAAGAGAGCATGAGAGGGGGCGAGAGAGACAGAGGAGCAGCTGTTGGGTTTTTTTGCAGCGTGCACAGGGAGGGCGCCCGTCTCGAGTGAGTCACACACACATGCGCGCGCGCATACACACACACACACACACACAGACACACACACACACCTCTCAGAGGAGAAAAGGAAGGCTGGAGAGAGGCAGAGGACGGCAGCAGCAGCAGAGAGGAGAGCCGCCAGTGGGCGAGTGGCTGCGCTGGAGGGGGAGGGAGCTTGGGAGGAAGGGAGGAGGATAAAGCAGAGAAGGAGAGTGGGGGAGGAGGGCTCTCAAGAGTGAGTCTGGCGTGTGTGTGTGTGTGTGTGTGTGTGTGTGTGTGTGTGTGTGTCCGTCCGTGTCCGCCGCTGCTCTCTGGCTGCCTGCGTGCAGAGAAGGCAAGGGGGAGGTGAGGGGGAGACTGAGAGCCTGAGAAAGCCCCACAGCCACCCTCCTGGGAGGGGAAGCAGGGAGAGGAGAGGGGCGGGGAGGAGGGGAGCAAAGGGGGAGGAGGGAAGGAGGGAGGGAAGCAGCCAGGCAGAGGGGGCTTTTCTCTCCTCGGCGCAGTTAAGATGCACCTTGAACACACTGTTCTCATTGCAGCGCCCCAGCAGCTACAGAAGCAGCAGCCACAGCAGCAGAAGCAGCCTGGGTTGCAGCGGCGGCGGCAGCAGCAGCGGCAGCGCTGACACATCCCACCATGGACAGCTTCGACTTAGCCCTGCTTCAGGAATGGGACTTGGAGTCTCTGTGGTGAGTCCTGACACTCTCTGCCTTTGACAGGCAGCGGGAGGAGGGGAGGGGAGAACTGAAGGCTGCTCAGCTCCCTTCTGCAACTGCTCCTGCTGCACCTGAGGCACCGGGAAAGGGGCATGTCCGTGTCGATCACCGTGGGGTGGGGGAGATGTGAAGAGGTAGGGATTCGTCTGAGGGGCTGCTCTGCCCCCTTTCTTTTTGCTCCTCTGTTGTACCTCCCCCATCCTATGAATGCACCCTCTCAGCCACCTCCCCAGCTTCTCGTCTTCCTCCCCACTTCCCACTCTGGCCTCTTCAGCCCAAGGGGCCAATGGTCTGAGGAGCGAGGGGCGAAGCTCAGCCCGGAAGGGAAACGGAGGGGAAGAGAAGAGGGGAACCAGTTTCTAGAGCATGTCTTTGGTGCCTAGGGAAGCAACCCCTCGTCTTTCTTCCAACCCTTCTCCTCACCCCCTCCTCCCTCCTCTCACCTCTCACCCTCCCTCCCCCAACTAGTTCAGACCAGCCGCGTCCTGGAGTTGGTGCTGCGGAGCACTGTGCCCGTAGGATGCTTGGTTGCCCCCACCCCCTCCTCGCCTCTCATCATCCCTTCCGGACCTTGCTGGCTTCCTTCTTTCTCCTCCAGTACCCACCCACCTGAGAAGGAAAAGTGTGCAACCAAGAGAAGAGATGAGTGTCTTCAATGGGGGAATTCCAGAGACGTTGGTTTAGAGATGATTCCTTGAGGTTTATAATTCCTCTGGGCCCCCTCTCTTCATCCTTATGCCACCCATCAACTTCTGTTGTTCTGCTCCTCCTACTTCCCAATCCCAACCTAGTCCCCCCCCCATTTATCCCTTTATTCGATGCTTGCTGTTTGCAGTATGAAGATGGGGAGCCAGGGACAAATCTCCCCGTTCTGTTACATTGACTTCCCATAACGAGTAGCTGCTGTACGTAAAAAAGGCTGCTTAAAGCAGTTTAATTCTAGTTGCGGTTGTCTTAAAAATCCTATTGGCTGCTTCATCATCCCCCTCTATCCCCCCTCTCCGTCCCTTCACTATCTGTTAAATGTTTGGAACCATTCTCTTCAGGTAGTGAAATTACAGCCTGCACATTCCTGGAGGAACTTGTGTTATATTTAATATTTACGGGGACGAACATCTGCTGGAACAAGCATATTAACTACATTTTGTTGTTGTTGTTGTTGTTGTTGTTGTTGTTGTCATGCCTCTGGTAATTGCTTATTTGTGGAGCTGGACAGTTTCTTTTCTTTTTTCTTTTTCTGCTTCAGATCAGATAAGTGTTCACATGTCTTTAAAACTCAAGCGCTTTGCCTTTAGCACCCATTGTTTAAAAAATGTGAAACATGCTATTTTGGGTCCACTGGTATATAAATGCCACATATCATATTAGGATTGGATTCCTTGTCTACTCCTTTGGTATTTAGTGTTTCAGTGACTGTATTTTATATTTTCAATGACAGGTGTAGCCAAAAACCTGGACACAAAAGCCAATGTGCTACTGAACAGCTTCTATTAAAAGATTTCACGATTAGGGCAGCTTCCTGCTCATACTGTTGCCTCTTAAAAAACACACAAAGATGGGGCCTTAATGAAATAAAACTTTTATGCATTAAGTTGGGAACTTCAAAGAGTCAATAGACTATGACTATGAAACATGCTATTACTGTAGAACAGATACTAATTACCACGGGACTGCTCCTGGCTTCTCTACTTGAGGTTATTTCAGCTTTTCAGTTATATCACCTATTACTGCAGGAATTTATATCTTTGTCATGTTGGGTCTTGGAACAAATGCAGTATCTTTCCAGGTACAAATGTATTCTTAAAATGAGTTTAGTTCATTTTAAAGGGCAGTTTTCCAAGCAAGGACAATTATTTATTATTTCAGGGTATTTGGGATGCTGCTGTCCATTTGCTGACTGAAAATGAAACAGAAACAACTCTTTGGCTTCTATAAGGTAGTTAATCATTATTATGGATTAACGCCAAGACATTTATTATTTTTAAACAATGTAAAGAAGTGAAAAGAAAAACATTTTTTTAAAGTCCAGCCATATATGATCTGATTTTTTTTTAACCTTAAAAATAGATCAAGAGAAGCAACATGGCATAATGGAAAGAAAGATGGCCTTAAGGCTAGCTAGACCTGAGTTCAAGTCCCACTCCTTGACACACACTGACTAGTTGATCTTGTCCAAGTTATTTATTTAACTTCACGGTGCTTTGGGCAACATTCTAAGACTGTAAGTTGTAAAAAAAGTTATGACCTACACTGTTAGAGGGAATTTCATCATCTGGGAGATCCCTATACAGCTCTAGTCACTATTCCATGTGTTTGATATGATTGGAGCAGTATTTCTAGTTTTTCAAACCAGATACTGAATTCACATTTCACAAAAGTTAATAAGTTTGTGAATCAAGGTGTTTTTTTTAAAGGACCCTGCACTTGGAGAAGGGATTTCTACATTTTTCAGAAGTTAAACTAGAAGACTTCTCAGGTTTCTTCTGATATTGAGATTCTGTGAACTAGTATTAGAATAAATATTTCATGAAGTCTAGCTGTAATTCAGTTAAAATTATTCTGAGCTTTTGAATATTGTCTTCCATTAAAAAAACCCCCTAAACTCTCCAAACCATATATATACATATATGTACACATATACATATGTACACATATAATATATATGTGATATATGTAATATATATATACATACAAAAGCAAGTTTATGGCATTTATGGGGTTTAAAAATTTACAGACAGCCAAAGCAATTCTAGAATCATATTGGCAAATTTTAGTGTGATTAATAAAGTTATAATTTAGAAAACAAAAAGTTATACACTTGAAGGAAAATATTTCAGGTATAATTTTTCTTTGTCAGACAACATAAATCTAAAACCAGCATAGCGTGAGTTAAATAAAGGAAAAAAACTTTTTTCTTGATTACTTGGAAGAGGAAATCCCAATTTTTACATTTTTTTCCTAATAGAAAAATAGAATTAAAGTCAATCAAAATCCTTTTCTTAATTGGCAAGCATTTCTTTTTTTCCTCTTCCCACAAAACAAGTTGTGGTCTGTCAGGGATGCCTTGACATTGCATCTGATGTAGCATAGTGGAAGTTTGGTGGTCAAAGAACTATTTATACATGGATATCCCCGAATGGTTATGCTTAAAGCTGTGTTTAATGCAGGCAAAATGAAGAGTTTATTCCATTTGTTACTAGAAAAATTTGATAATTTAAGTAGACAGTCTGGACTAACTAAGCAAAACCTCTTTTGGATGCTAAATAGTAGTTTTTAAGCCTGAATTATTCAGATCACTGCCTCAACTTTTCACTTAAAATATATCATAAAAGTTGCATTGTGATCCCTAGTTTCATCTGTGACTCCACTTCTCATTTCTTAGCCCCTGTTTAAGAAAAGTAGATGGGGCAGATATCTGAGAATGGGCATCTTTCCATTTTCTGCCCCTGGTTCTGCTTTGATTATTTTTTCTGCACTATTGGGGGTAAAGGACCTCTCAGTCTTCCTATTCCACTCTAGTCTGATCTTGGTCCTAATCCTAACTTTCTAAAGCCTTTGCTACAATATTAGCTTTCACTTCTCTTCCCTTTGTAGAACATGCAGATGACAATATATACTCCCCACCAGGTTGGCAATATTCTCATTGTCTCTCTGAATGTGTAGCTCTATTAAATCAGCAGGTATTAAGGGCTTACTTTGAGCAGAGTGTTAGTGGTAGATATATGGCAGACACAAAAGCAAGACAGTCCTTGACTGCCCTCAAACAGCTCACATTCTAGAAATGGTAAAATCACAATTACCAATTAATTCGTGACAGAAATAATGTTATTGACACAGTATTTTCTATAATACATAAAGTATCTTTCAGTTAATAGCATGGTTTCAGCTTTTCCTTTCCAAAACAACATATTAAAAACTCTAATTTGGCCTCTGTTAATAAATTAGGCATATACACCTTAGTCATTAGGTAGAAAGTCATTATTGAAATGCAAAATAATAAATACATAAATAAAGATACTACAACTACCACTACCATCACCACCCCTACCACTATTGCCACTGCTGCTGCTGCTGCTGCTGCTACTGCTACTACTACTACTACTACTACTACTACTACTACTACTACTACTATTACTGCTACTTCATCTAGACCCTAAAGATATAAAACCTTCTTGTTGTCCAGAATTTAAAATTTTGCTATCGTTTATACCTTAGTCATTTATTATCTTGTTCTATCTGCCCTATTAGATCAGAAGCTCCTTGAGGGTAGTTTTGGTGTCCTATCTATCTTTGTGTCTCCAGAGCTTAGAACAGTGTCTTGTATACAGCAGATGTTGAATAGATGTTTATATGATCTGAATTTAATTGAACACAAGGCAATACTGATTCCATTTTACTCAAATACTTTCTGTGTTAACTTTTTTTTCCAAGATGAAAGCTTTCATAATTACAGTAAATGAAGTATTTAATATCCATCCTTTCTCTACTGTATCTACAGTCAGCACATATTGTGTGTGTAGGTGGGTGCTTACTAAAATGAAGATGATGGATATATTATTCGTGGTGAAGTGTTTCCTTCTGATGCTCCTGATTCTCTTGTGAAATGTAGAATATTGAGAATAAAGTTCTATTTGTATACCTCACTATAGAATAGAGATGATCTTGGATATGCTAAGGCTATCATTCTGAAAAAAGATTTAAAGGATGATCTCAGGAACAGTCTATAGTTCTGTCTTCTGAGGACCGGCTTAGCTAAGTATAGAGAGGCTAATCACTGGGTTGGCAGTGGAGTGATAAATTTCTCAGCCATGGCACTTCTCAAAAACCAGCTCCTACGTTATAAAGGGGTTGTACTCAATGTCAGTGGAAGCTGTACCTACAATGATGATATTATTTTTCTCTTAAATATTGAAGAAAAGTATTGTTAAAAGATAAAAATGTAATTTTGGGAAAGTTCATCTATAAACAAAAAT